CTTTATAGATCTTTGTATATTAAATCTGTGATCCATAATCCCGTTAATGCAAGTTCTTCAAGTCCTGTGGTCTTGGGATGCTTGAGGAAAGTCTGTTTGCATATCCTTACTGTTGTTTCTTGTCAGCCCTATAAGGTAGACCAGAGTATGAAACCTAAGGTGTAGGCCTAAAGCAATTTTTATTAGAACAGCTACAGTAACAGAACTTTGCAAGTCTGAATGTGTTTCCCTCTTTTATCTTCATGTGAATTGGTGGGGGTGGGGTGGGGGTGCTGTCTGAGGCATTTTTGTAGACTACTTTCTTGGTCTGGGCTCAAGCCAACTTTTATCTGATTATTGCCTTGGTAACAGATCTTCGCTCTGTCCCTCAAGGCCATCCTCTATACTCTCTACGTTTCTTTCTGTGGCTACCCATAGCTTAAAGGAGAAGCCAGGTCCAGCAACCATGGCCAAAACAAAGGCAAAGAGAGACAATGGCAAGGTAGAGACATAATAAGGCAGGTTGGCTTTGTCTTAGTATAGTGCATGAACTGAGCAAAATGTAATTCATTAAATTAAATAGATCCTGGGTTAGCACAATATGTGGGACCCAGCCCAAAACAGGGCTGGAACCCCTGGATGAAACAAGACCTTGGCCATCTCAGAGAAATCCTATTTACTGAAGGTTTTTTTCTCAGAGAAATCGATCAATATTGTCTCATCAGCATTCTGAAGCCAACAGAACCCTTGCACAGATCACCCTAATGCACAGTAAAAGGCTTCTGTTATACAGGGGGAAAGGAAAGTGAGTAACAGCCCATAATGTGATGATGTCAGCACTGCTTGGGCTTTCACCCCGTCTCTACCCAATTATCATCCAATGCTGGGCAGAGCAAGGGCAAACCTGCTGGTCTTGACCCTGCATTGCATCTTTTACCTGCTGGGAAGACAAGGAAGCAGCTTATCCTGCAATATTAGTGAGAGTAGGCCAGTGTTTCTCCACCTTGGCAACTTCAAGATGTGTGGACTTCAACTCCGGGAGTTGAAG